CCGAAGCCGGAGGCAGGCCGGGAGTCCCGCGAGGGCCAGCCAAGCAGGGGAAAGGGTCTGGAAGGAAGCGATCCCTCCCTCCCTCCTAGAGGCGGCACCGGCGCATTTGAGCGGCGGAGGAGCGCGCCCACCCCTCGCCCGCCTGCCTCCGCCCCCCTTTCAAGAAGCGGCTCCGCTATCCCCGCCAGCGCAGGGCGTCCGCCGCCCCTGGAAGCGCACGGTCCACGCTTTCTCCTACACGTCCCCTGGACATTATGCGGCCGAGCAGTCGAGCCCCAGTCCTCCCAGTGCTACTCCTGCGGCTCCTCCCGCGGCCCGAGCGGCTCGGCTCTCGGCAGGCAGCGGTGTTGCTCAGACCCTCGCGGCGGGACCTCAGCGACTCCTGAAGTCAAAAGTTGGTGGCGGGCTCCGGNGCCGTGCGCAAGGACAGGCTGCACCAGAGGCAAGGTAACGCGGCTTCGGCCCCCGGGACCCCTCCGCCAGTGTCGCCAACTCCGCAGCCTCCGCGCCCGGGAGCGGGCACCCCGCCGCGGAAGCTTCTTTCCTTTTCCTAGAAAGAATTATTTCTCGCTTTGCAGCCTCTGCCTTCTTTAGGTCATTCCCAGCCAATTTCTAGAGAGGGACGCTGTGGCAGGAACTCCACACCCTTTGCTTTTAGCCTGGATTTTCCCCTTCCCAACTCCCGTGCCCCGAACTACCATAACTTACTACCTGGGGACCACAGCCAGCAGTGTGTTTTACTTTATTCAGGGTATTTGTCAGAATCTGATATTACTTTATGTCCTCTAACTTGGTTCATTTTTTTCTGGCTCCTAATGGTATAAACATCCTCCGCGCCTCACACATTTTCTGGCTCTTCCTAGCACACAGTAGGTGTTCAGCAAATATTTGTCCACTGACTGAGGGTGAAGGGGTTAATTCAAATGGGGGAAAGACAGCCCGCTGGAAAACAACTCAGGACAAAGCTCTCAACTTTATTTTAATTTAAAACTTGCAGAAAACTGAATTACTGTTTTATGTATCTTTGCTTCTCTCTGCAGTGAAACTGTTAGAGACCCTGCGCGAATACGAAATCGCGTCTCCCGTCCGAGTGAACGCTCTCGGAGAACCCTTTCCCACGAACGTGCACTTCAAAAGAAGGCGACGGAGCACTAACTCTGCCTCTGACCCCTGGCCTGCCTTCGCCTCCTCCTCTTCCTCCACCTCCTCCCAGGCGCACTACAGCCTCTCCGCCTTCGGCCAGCAGTTTCTATTTAATCTCACCGCCCATGCTGGATTTATCGCTCCGCTGTTCACTGTCACCCTCGTCGGCGCGCCCGAGGGGAACCAGACAAAATTTTATTCCGAGGAGGAAGCAGAACTCAAGCACTGTTTCTACAAAGGCCATGTCAATACCAAGTCCGAGCACACGGCGGTCATCAGCCTCTGCTCGGGAATGGTGAGTGGGCGCGCGCCCCGCCTCTCCCCTCGCCCGCTTCTGGAAGACTTTTGCTCTGTGGCCTGAGATCCTCACCACGGCGAGTCTCCGCTCTGCTCTTAAGTATGAGCTGGAAGCTCGTTTGCGTCCTGCGCTTTGGGCGGCAAGCCCGGAGCGTGGGCTTACACTCGAGAGGCGAGCACGCGTCCGCCCCCACGGGGTCCTGGAGTTTTGGAGCTTTCTAGGGTCCTAACCCGGCTCGGCTGCTTTGCCTACGGTCGGGTGACTGCTTGGAGGCTGGTTTCCAAACTCGGTCGCCCAGGAGCAGCTGAGCGTAGGGAGGGCCCGACTCGTGATTGGTGCGCCTGGAGTTGGGGGGGGTGGGCTGAGAATCCCCAGGCTCGGGTCCCGGGAGTTCCTTCTGTGTGTGGTGGAGGGCGGTGCGTAATCTAGAGTCCCTGCGTTCTCTCTCGGCCTTTTTTCGCGCGCCAGGAGCCCTGAGGCCAAACAGGATTGATAGGGAACAGGTCCCGTCTGGGAACCGAAGGGTTCAGGGGG